ATTCTTTTAATACAGGGTTACCCTCAAAGGATGAGACTGTAAAGACGACATGAAACTCTTTAAATATGAATATCCCCATGGACTTAATTGAGTCTTCTAATTTAAAAAAAGAAAGTTTACAGTCGCAAAGAAACCATTAATATACAAGGGAACAGACAGTATGCAGTCGTCTCTGAAGTCTCATCCTTTGTGGGTAACTCTTCACGTATTTTATTATGGTTAGCTGATACTTTATTCAGATGCTAAAGGGATTCTAAGGTAACTTTAAATGACCCTCCATACAATGATGACAATGCCTCATTCACAACGGTACCCTTGAAACCTGTATCTGATCAATAATGTGGAAGAATTTGTCGGTTTTCTAACTCTGAAAAGGGTTGATAATTCTTATAATTCCTATATGTTTTCTTGCAGTATGCATGTATGTAATGGTTTTATATTTATAAATTTTCATTAATTGATGACAATTAAATTCCTAACAATCTGAGTTAAAAAGCCATTATATAAGAATAAATTAACCTTGAAATATTCAATATATAAACATAGAGATTAAACTGATACTGACGCACTGTGCGCACACTGCACACTGAACAGTGCACCTATAAATAATATCAAAACTGAAATGGAACATTCTCTTCAGAAATACTAAACGAGATATATCCATAGTGTTTATCTAAAGGTACTGTACATGGGCAACCTTTTTATCACAAATGCATGATTTATTTTCCCCCCTGAAAATTGATTATTTTGAATTCTGGTGTCTCATGTAAAGTGATGTATGGTGAGGAGACAAGTAAGTAAATAGTTCAGTACATATCTCAATTAAACTATGGTGACATGAAATTACGTTGACATTTCCTTTAAATAGATCTGTCACCAAACTTGAAGTATTAATTCTAATAAATATTTTTTCTTCTCCTTTAAAACCTCATTATTCTGTAGCTAAAAGTATTATGAACAACTTTTCACTCTGTTTTCTAAAAGACGACGATTTCTAAAACTATTTTCTCGGTGTTAGGAACTTTCGCAAAGGATTTTTCCCAAGTGGCAACTTCCCAAGGGTTCTGTTAGGCGACACAGGCTGCAATGGGGGGCTGAGCGCTGCGGCTAAGATGGGCTAAGGGGCCGAGCGCCGCGTCTAGAACAGACTGGGGGCCACGTGCTACGGCTAGGATAGACTGGAAAAGTTGCCGCTTGGGAAATTTCACATTTGGGAAGGTGCCACTTGTGAAAAATCCTTTGGGAAAGTACCTAACATCTTTTATCAACGCTTATGTTATAGAAGTGCATATTCTTTAAACTCATATATAAAAGATATAAATTATCTTTTTATGATCGTTAGGATTGAATTACCCCAATTTTTATGCAATTATGTGCTAAAGTGAAACTTAGAATTTTCTATAATAATTACAGGTTGATTCGGTTCTTTCACGTTCTTTTTTATGGTTTTATGCTCCTATTATTCTTTATTTTAAACAATAGACTTTTTCGGTTAACAGTTTTCTGGCTTTTTGTTAATTACAAATATATCTCTATTGATATCTCTAGAGACATATGAGTATTTCTCTGTTATTTACTGATATCATTCTAAATATTTTTCCATTGGCAACTGAGTATTTCTCTGTCAACTCAGGACTTTTTAATGTGAACATAGAACATGATAAAAGTATAGTAATGGTACTAAGGAGGCTTCACTTTGAGTAAACAGAAAGAACACGGTTAATTATTTTTCTAAGTTGGACCAGGGGCTTGAGCTGTGTAGCCCTGTAGCTCAGGGCAGTTGGTTGGTATTGCAGACTCAAAGCTGAATATGCATCAACCTGTTATTTAGTTCTAGGAGGATAGCGCCTTACACGGTGTGCAAAGAGATATTCGACATTTGGATTATATTAGTGTGCAGTGATAACCCGAAAACTCTGGAGAAGGAAGACGAGTTTACAATCAAGTTATGACTTGAAGAAATCCTATGATAATGAGACACAGCAACTGTGCAGTGTAAACAGACCCGTTTGATTTTATTAGTGATTTTCTAGTAAAACTTTTTGCTTTGTAACAACATCAAATACAATTATGTATTGCTGTATAGTCGTCTTCCTATTCCAGAGGTTTGGGTGATCACTGTATGATATCATGTTCACTGTTTAAACAACGTTTGAGATATCTCTCTATTAACACTAAGTTATGTCCAGCTAAGAGTTTGTGAGATATTTCTCAGTTTCTCAAAGAAACTGAGTTTATGCCACAAACTCATTTTCTAATCCTTATAAATTTGCAAACCAAAAATTCTGATTTTCAAATTGCTATATATTTACAACATGATGGTGTTAACCTATGATATTTCAAACTATCATTATTTGATCTAAAATAATTCATAGTTTGAAATATCTTAGGTCTCCGACATTGAAATGCAAAAATATAGGGATAAGAAAATCAGAGTTTGTGACAAAAACTCAATTCCTTTACAGTATCAGATTGCAAAGATGTAGCTGGATTAGAAAATTCGAGTTTGTGGCAAAGACTCAATTCCTTTAAACAAAATGATAGATATCTCGAAATGGTTTCGGTTATTCGAAATATCGATTGAAATATACGGCTTTTTCTAACATTTTTCCCTTAAAATCTCTTTGTATATTTTCCAACTTATACTTACTCCAAGGGGTTCAGGTCTCCCATTAGCACGGAACCAATCCTTATATCTCTTGTTTTCATATATTCAGTTCTGCATATGTTCAACCCTTTGCTAGTCCCACAGCCCTAAACAATACAGTGAGTCATTCAAATAGACAAACATTGTTAACTGATGTTAACTTTTATCTTTGAAATTTACAAGAAATTTTAGATTTTTCAATGAAACGATTAAAGTTAGACACTATATACTCATCCTCTCTTCTTGTCAATAGTTTGAATTCATTCAATAGACTTTAGAAAAATCCAAAGAAAAGAAATAGTAAAAATATATTTTATAATAATCAAAAGGGTGCAATTGACATTTTTACTTTTAGGGACTCACCGTACGGTTCTATATTTTAAAGCTACCGCCACATGCAAAGATTGGGCCACACACAAACATTTAACATGGGGGGGGGGAGAAGGGGGATATTGATGAGGGGGAATGACCTGAGTTTATGACAACGGAAACGCAAAATTGAAATAAAATTACATGTTGATACAGACTTAAGCGTTCAATCATGGGAACGGATAACAGAGTTCATTTTCTTTGCATTAACTCATTTTAAATCTATAGTTGATAATAGGTAAAGGTAAAGTTACAGTCAAACCGTCGAATTCAATTTAGACAAACTGTCAAAACTTTACCCAATTTTATCTCATTAAATACTTAATTTCCACCAGTTTCTATTTTTTAACCTTTGAAACAAAATTTCGTTAACATTGATATTTCAAAGTTTAAATTCTGCCAGATTATAGGGAACCAAAGTTTAAAATATCAAAGGTTTACACCAAAACGGGTTGAAAAGCAATGGGGAGAGTAAAATCTGAGTTTGAGTCAAGTGTTCACAGTTCTTTTGTGTATGCATGGCTGAGGCTAAACATTTGTCAGGATTTTGTAACAGACAGGAAACCAATTATCTACTCACGTCTTGTCCTAACAACCTAACTAGAAATGAAACCATTGAAGGGAAAAAATTTGTTATTGAATGAAAATATGTTGTTAATAATGCAATAGATAAAATTTTGCTTTAAGCAAACAAATTTGTCAAGAAGGATACAGAGTTTTTGTTCTACCGTTAAAGAAAAACTGTTTTTTTTTTATGGGGAGTGGTGGGAGGGGCGTTTTAAGAGTTAAGAAAATTATTGGAAATCTGAAATAGACATAATTCACTACAGGATATCTTTTAATTCAGTCAAATTCTGTCATACACCCTATTTCTTTAAAATTTTGCTTCGGTAATTATGGATCAAGGGCTAGCGATAAATACATAAAATTCAATACATACAGGGCAGTCCCTAGTATGTCCCATCTGAACATTAAATTTTAGCCTTCCCCCCACCCCTCCATCCAACTGAGAGTTGTAGAAAGATATATTGTTGAATCTGAATCTCTTGGTCTGGGATTATGGTATCAGTTCAGTGTGGTTTCGGAGCAAAACACGCACTGTGGTTTCTCAGGGTAGGCTATAACCTAGGGAGAACTCATTCCAAGAAATAGAGAAAGGAGTGAGAGGGGGGCGGGGGGATTTTTTCCACGTGATAACATCCTCATGTTAAGAGGGGGGGGGGGTTTGGGAAACAACATCCTCAAGGCCCCCTAATTCCAAATTGGCTTATTCCACTTTCTTCAGTTTCCGCGCAATATTGATATTTGCAAACCTATAGATTTTGCGATTGTTTGCGAAATATTGATGTATTGTTGAGGTTACAAGGCAGGGGGGGGGGGTGCCCTCTGATCTTGTTTTATACCAACCAAAGATTAATCAGTAGATACAAAGATAGAAGATATATATCGAAGTATTTGCAATTATAGATAAGATTGCAATATATATTTATTAACTATTGTATGTATAGTGTATACAATAATATACAACAGGAAGTGGGCTTTTATTATCTTTCACGTAAGAGTGCAATTTCAATTTGGAGTTCCTTGTTGTTTGCGAAATCATTATTAACCATCATAGGCTGTAAGATATCTACTACTATAAAAACTTGAAGTTATAAAATGATATTTTCCTTTCAAATATATTTCTATGAAATATAAATTATACATGTCCTCGACCCTGCATAATTGAACTTGTCAAAAACGTTGAATATTCTGACTACTGGAATATATTCCAAAGAAAATTTGTGGATTCATAGAAAATAAGATTAAATTCTAATCCTATCTTGTGTAGCATTTCTTAGAAACAATTTAATACAAAACAAAGAAAATTGAAAATTTTTAACACTTATTATTATATAAAGCTAATTGATATTTTTAAAGATTTTGCGATTTTCTTTAACGATTTGTGCATGTTTTCTTCATTTTTAATAATTATTTGTTTTAGAAGCCCCGTGATCCAGGGTCTGCAGGGACCGGTGGTGCTAGCGAAGAGACAAAAGCATTATTTCTTGAAAAGGTGAATTTTTAAGGAAAGAAAGGAATTTTTGCCACAAACTAAAATTTAATAATTCCTATATCTTTGCAACCTTTAATTAATTCAAACTTAGATTTTTATTTAACAGAATCTTTAGTTTGAAATATCTAAGGTCTACGACATAAGGTTGCAAAGAAAAAAGGGATTAGAAAATCAGAATTTGTGACAAAGACTCAATTTCTATAAATACAGTAAAAATTTTCTTTTCGAAAATTTCTTTTTGAATCCAATATAAATCTTTGGAATAAGCAGACGACTACTAAACTCAAATTAATAAGTCCAATGAACAAGAAGAACATAAACCGTCATTGTACACAGCTCATGTTTATTTGCTGTGGGCCTCACTGTATGCAAGAAGTTATTATGCATTCATTTTTATTTTTCAACAATAATCATAGATTTATTTACGCGGCATTATTTTAACAATCTAGGTTCGGCAATCGAATGCCGCGTGTGAGAAAGGAGATTTTAGCCTGGCGGTCAATTTGTACACTGAAGCAATAGCACTGGATACACTCAACCATATTCTTTATTCGAACAGGTAGTTCGTTAACTATCTTCCAATGTTTAAGAAATTAAAGGGACTGTAAACGTAATTTCAAGTGTCCATCAGCTTGTCCAATTCCTAATAATACCCCTTACGTCCTTATTTGAGCAACAATGGGGAAGATATAAAAAGACGGAGGAGTTTATCTTATTCATTGATTTAATGGAAACCATTATAAATTGGAAACGTCAATGCCAACGGGGAGTCATATAAAATTACGTGTTTAGTCCCTTTCAGTAAAAAATGCAAACTCTCTAGAAAATTGCAAAGCATTTGCGCGGTTTACAATGAAGATTAACATTATTCAATATTAAAAAACAAACAAAAAAGTATGGGGTTGAGTCATATAAATCATTTGAATTGATTTGGAGAATTATACTATATTGACTAATGTTTGATGATTTTTAAATTGCATAAAATCTTATATGAAGCGCATATATGCCCCCAAATCAGGAATTGATTAGTTTATTAAAACTAGTATTATAAGAGTATTTTATAATTTATTTCTGAACTGATTATTATAATATTTTTGTTTGTTAGATCTGCTGCTTATATAAAGATGGGCGAGTTTAAGAAAGCGCTCAGAGATGCACTTAAAGCCAAGGAATTGAATCCACAATGGCCCAAGGTAAAATTTTTTCTGTTGAAATTTATTTTCAATTCTTATCTTTAATTGATAATAACTATGTAGTAGTTGGTGTATAATAGTAAGTATGCTGTATTAGCCTCGTATAAACTATTAAGTATAATGTTGAAGTAGATTTATACTAGAAAGTTTAATGTAGTAGCTGGTATCTACTAGTATGTATAATGTAGAAGAAGGTATGACTACTAAGTGAAATGTAGTAGTTTTTATACACAAGTAAGTATAATGTATAGTAGTTGATGTAAACTAATAAGTATAATGTAGTGGTAGGTTTATTCTAGTAAGTATAATGTAGTAGTTGGTATATACTAAAACTAGGCTTCGTGGATTTTCAAAAATTTCAAAAATCGAATTTTGTTAAAGGCAAATTTTTGAAAATTCGATCATCTATACACCTTCTTTGGGTTCAGCCGTTTTGAAGTTTGTTTAATACAAACGGACAGACAGACAAGCAAAATATGTATAGCAGAAGAAGTATAATGTAGTAGTTGGTATATACTAGTAAGTATATGGAAAGCAAGGGCCCCTGGAGTGAACCCTGTGGGACGCCACTTCTATACATAACATTACCCAATATTCAGCAAAAACCATCTAACCCTGGAAATTAGCTCCCAACCATATGAAACCTGGGCTAATATTCCCGCTATACTTCTTATACTACTAAGCTCTATCATCTGAACACATTACAGAGTCTATAAAATATAAATTATATATTCTACGTATCCTCCAGTACTACATATAGGGTCCAATTGTCCAGAGGGAAAACATACTAAAACTAACATTGAACTACAATTGATATTAGCTATATTTTCAGGCGTACTATAGAGAAGGAGTTGCTTTGCAATGTACTGGAAAACATGCGGAAGCACTGGCTGCTTTTTCTTCAGGTATTTTCTTCAAATTCTCTTTATTTAGATATACTAGGCTTTCAGGTTGCTTCGCGCCCATAAACCTTCCCTGGGGTCATGTAAAATCCCACACAAAATTTTGGCCCGATCGGTTCAGCCATTTTGACGTTTATTGACCACCGTATTATTTATCTTAGCATTTTTTCCCCTTTCCTTTCATGGAATTCTGATTTTGTTGTAATCATTCCCGTCCATTGATTTATTAATCAGTAGTATGTAATAACTTCATTACAAGAGTCTCATAATGAAGATCTAAGTTATTTAAATAAAAAATAGTGCATAGCTGTAGCAAAATGTGAATTAAAATATTCAAGATTAAGACTGTAAAGTCTTATGCTTGGTGAATAACACTGTGCTAAATTTTATACTATACGGGAACACTATATTCTGAATATTCTCTTGAAAGATGGTTGACCGCATAGCGAAAGATCTATTAGTTTCCATAAAATATCAATATCTTGTAAAATATCAAAATGCAGGATAATTCTAATTCATAATAGTTTACTATCCCCTGAGAAACCCCTTTTAGGTATTTTTTGGCGTAGGCCATTGAATAAGATGATGGGTGAACCTTGCATTATTCTCCGAGTGTTGGAAAGATCGAATTTTCTTCGATACTTCAATCACAATGTTAGGATTTCTATCATCATAATAATCTTTGTGTATTTCAGGACTATCCCAGGACCCCAAGTCCCTGCAGCTGCTGGCCGGCCTGGTGGAGGCTGCTATGAAGTCCCCCTACCGGGGAAACCTGGAACCAACCTACAGACAGCTTGAGACCATGCATCTAGATAAATCTCCTTTTATCATTATATCCGTAATAGGACAAGAGCTCCTAGCCCAGGGGAAATATAATTCAGCTGTTCAGGTAAAAACTACAAGATACAGGGTGTCCCACTTACCATGACAATTAAGAGACGTGTCAATATTTTATAGCTATCTGATGATCCTAAGATAGCTTTCATAGATCAACGAAGATCTTTAAGACATTTTTCAATTTTCATGTTTTGTGGGACACCCTGTACCATAATAAGCTTAATTACTCAATGATATACATCGAGAAAATCTAAAAACCGTCCATAAAAACTTGAATCATAGATATCCTGACTTTAATCCAAAAACTGTCCCTTAAAACTTAAATTATAGATATACTGACTTTAAAAGTTTAAAACTACACAAAAGGCTTCAAATAATCAAATATCAATCAACAAAAGTCAATTTTTTATTCTTATCCTCCTAGGTTCTAGAGGCAGCCTTAAGAATAGGAACATGTTCTCTGAAACTTCGAGGTTCAGTTTTCTCCGCCCTGTCCTCTGCACACTGGGCTCTAAACAGTCTTGACAAGGTTTGTTATCAGGGTTGTAATGAAACATTATCTACCCTTTGAAGCTCTGTCCTTCATTTTAAAGAATGCTTTAAACCTGAATTCAATTTTTTTAATTTCTCGTGTTTAATACCTTCGTTTCACGCCCTGTGATGTATTTCTTAAAATTAATTATCGTCGGATCAATCAAAGTCAATTTCCATGGAGTTGGATTGGATTCAAGGATTCGGGTTGAGACTTGAGTTTTCAGATCTAGGAATCTGAGCAAAGTATTGACGAGGGAATTGCAGTATAAATAAATTCAATGAATTTGAACCGCGTCTCAAATACAATTTTAATTGGAACCAACGATATTTGAGCCGAGTCTCAAATTTAGGCCGCGGCTCAAATTCTTTAATTTCGGCCTCAGGTCTGAAATGAACTTTATAAATGATAGAATACATCTTTTGTAAATTATCTGATTCAAGATTATCAATGTTAAAAGCTTTTTTATGTTTAGAGTTGAATTTAAAAGGTTTCACTTGACAATATACATTTTAGCTGGTTTAAAAGGATTTAATTTTTAGTTGACGTATGAATTAAGGGTTGTTCTAAAGGTTTTGAGATGACGGGTTGTGGTTGAGAATTAGGTTTATAAATACAGGTCGGAACTAAGATCTAGGTTCAGGAATTAATGTGGGAATTGAAAATCTAGGGTTAGGAATTAAGATGGGAATAATCTAGGTTCAGGAATTAAGGTGGGAATATAAGATCTAAGGTTAGGAATTAAGGTCTAGGAATTTAAGATTTAGGTTTCAGGTTTCGATTAAAGTAATGCAATGTGTTATCCTTGAGAGAGTTGTCAACCCTTGTGTTTTCTCTAATTAATCTGACAGAATATCAGGACACATCTAGTAATAGATACAGGGATACAGGGATACAGGGATATAGGGATACAGGGATAGAGGGATATAGGGATACAGGGATACCGAATATCAGGACACGCATCTAGTAATATATACAAGGATACAAGAATACAGGGATACATGGATACAGGGATATAGGGATACAGGATACAGAATATCAGTACACGCATCTAGTAATATATACAAGGATACAAGAATACAGGGATACAGGGATACAGGGATACAGAATATTAGGACACATCTAGTAATAGATACAAGGATACAAGAATTCAAGGATACAGGGATACAGGGGTACAGAATATTAGGACACATCTAGTAATAGATACAAGGATACAAGAATACAAGGATACAGGGATACAGGGATACTGAATATTAGGACACATCCAGTAAAAGATACAGGGATACAAGAATACAGGGATACATAATATTAGGACACATCTAGTAATATATACAAGGATACAAGAATACAAGGATACAGGGATACATGGATACTGAATATCAGGACATATCTATTAATATATACAAGAATACAAGAATACAGGGATACAGAATATTAGGACACATCTAGTAATAGCTACAGGGGTACAAAAATACAGCGGTACAGTGATACAGGAATACAGGGATACATATGGATACAGGGATACAGGGATGCAGGAATACAGGTATATAGGGACACAGGGATACAAGGATACAGAGATACAAGGAAACAAGGATAGCGACCACGTCTACAACGCAAACAGAGCATAGGACAAATTTAATGCATAAAGAGCATCTTTACAAAACAATTAGACCATTGCTCATGTAAATCAATCAAAGGGGAAGGGATTTACATCCTGTTAGGGAATAAAGGGATTGTTAAATACTGTCATTCACAGTCCCACCCCATTAGTTTGTTTTGTCTCTCTCTATATGTTTATGGTTTAAAGTATACCAGACCTATACGTAATAAGGTTTCTTGAGGGGATTGCATGCAGACAATGATTAACCTAGTTCAGGGGTATATATACATTTCAATATTATAAACTTCCAAACCAAACCTAGTTCAGGGGTTTTCTATATTCTAAACTACTAAACCAAACCTAGTTCAGGGGTATATATTCAAATCACCCAAACCAAACCTCAACCCACACCCTCATGGGTCAGAATTTGTGAATTGAAATGGTTAATGTCCTCTAGAAGGATCGGAAGGGACTATGAAGAAATGCTTTATCAAAAAATGTTCACATGAATTATCCAAACCTGTAGAAAAGTCAGTCTTCGTCACAAATTCAAATTTTCTAATCTCTATATTTTTGCAACAAGATGGCCTAAACCTTTGATATTTTAAACTTAGATTATCTCTAACATAAATTATAGTTTGAGATATCTAAGGTCTAATGACATGGGTTGCAAAGATAAAGGGATCAGTAAATCAAAGATTGTAGCAAAAACCTAATTCTTTTCCATCTTGAAAATTAAAAATTTTCTTTTTTTGGGTGACAAATGCTGAAAAATCAATCCTTTTATTTTTAGGCTATTGGATATATGCAGGAGGATCTTGTTGTAGCCAGGAAACTGTCAGATACTGTTGGAGAATGCCGGGCTCATGGTAACCTAGGCTCTGCTTACTTCAGTAAAGGAAATTATAAGGTAGAGTCATATCTAGGCTTGTAACTGAAAGATTTGGCAAGTAGTGAGGGGGGGCAAGGAGGGACACAAAGAATAAATAGGGGGAGGGGGGGCAAAACCCTCTTAAAAAGCAATTAAAATGGCTTTATGATCTAGCAGAATGCAAAGTTTGACATATAGGTATACGACATCAGGTTACAAGAGTATAGGATTAGAAACTTATATTATTAGTGTTGAGTTTATAATTTGTAAATTATACATCCTGTCTTCTGGAGACAAATACTGTGATAAAGTTTAAAAAATTCTTTTCCCTGGCGTTCAGGATTAACACCTGTTTTGCCTTTCTTAATTGACTGAGACATCCTCATTTTTTCCTAATTTAAATTTCTAAAATAGTTTTGAAGTGACAGTTGATCTGATTGTATTAAAACCAATTAGCCACCTTCTTATGTCTGGTTATAATAGATTTTAATTGCAAGGAGAAATTAAATGCAAGTTGTTTGACTAATTAGACAGGTTGAAGCTATTTATCAGATCAAGAGAAATACTTAATTGATATTATTAAAAAGTCTCTTAACATGCAAAGTTCAACAGCCTCCCTGAAATCGTAATTTTTTGACTATTTCAAGTTTCAACCATGATCTTATCAATGTTTGAAATAAAATATTTTTTGATTTTTTGCCCGTTAAGTGGTTAATATCATAAAGTTATCTGAAAAATTAAATAAAATTTTCATACAAATATATGTGTCTGAAAAAATGGCTTTGTTTTAGGATGCACTAACTTCAAACAGATATCAGCTGGTTTTGGCAATGAAAATTAAGGATAATAGCGCGGCGGCTTCTGCGCTCACTAGTCTAGGCAGGATATTCATAATCGTCTTTGTTAATGTTTAAGAATTGTAAAATGATCAACCTTTTGATATAATTTAAAATCTATTTTGAATATCCATTACAGGACATATATACTCAGCTCAAAATGATTATAATAACGCTCTATCAAGCCACCAGCAATGTGTGGCTCTTATGAAAACCCTTGGCAATGAGCTTCATCAAGCTAGGGAGATCGGAAACGTTGGTGCCGTCTACCTGGCCATGGGCGACTTCGACAACGCGGTCAAGTGCCATACCGAGCATCTCCAGATTGCCAAGAAGCTTGAGAACAAGGTCGAGGAAGCAAGAGCTTACTCAAACCTTGGATCTAGTCATCACTATAAGAGAAACTTTGAGCAAGCGATAGTATTCCACAACCATGTGCTGCGCCTGGCTCATGAGCTAAAGGACCATACGATCGAGGCCAGAGCTTACGCAGGACTGGGCCATGCTGCTCGCTGCATGGGAGATCATGAAGCAGCGCAAACCTGGCACGAACAGCAGCTGGATATGGCACTGAAGACAAGAGATAAGGTTGCTGAGGGCAGAGCCTGTTCTAATCTAGGAATAGTTTACCAGCTTCAAGGAAACCATGACAGTGCCTTAAAGCTCCATCAAGCGCATCTCAATATATGTCGCCAGCTTAACGACAGAGCAGGGATGGGGCGGGCCTTTGGAAACATTGGTAACGCCTATAGTGCCATGGGTTACTATGACCAGGCTATAAAATACCATAAACAGGAACTAACCATATCCAAAGAAGTAAATGATAGAATTAGTGAAGCCAGCACTCATGGTAATCTAGCTGTAGCCTACCAAGCTCTGAACATGAACGACAAGGCCATGTTTCACTACCACAGTCACCTTAACACCGCCAGGGAGCTGAAGGACAGCGTGGGGGAGGCATGTGCGCTCTGTAATATCGGAAACTGCCATTCCTCCCTCGGTCAGTTCGGGCAGGCAGTCCCTTTCTATGAGAACTATTTGATGTTAAGCCAGGAATTGAATGATATCGAAGGAGAAGCCAAGGCTTGTCATTTCCTAGGATATGCTCACTACTGCCTAGGAAACTATAAAGAGGCAATCAGGTAATTAAAAAATAATATTAAAGCAAAAAATAAGAAAACAAACTAAAATATCATTGATTTCACTACTCCCTCCTTCCCCCCTACTCCCCTGACTCCCCGATCATAATTAGATTTCTTTTCTAATTTTTCACATAAAATTCTTAATGCAAAGATAATTTATTACCAAAAAATTCTCAAAAAAAGGTTCTAATTATAAAAAAATATCAGTTTGATTTCAAGTTTAATGCATTATAATCTTGCAAATGCACTTTGCAATTTATTGAATAATTTTGAATATAAATTGGTATTATGCCCCCTGGACTGCACGATAAAAGAGTTGTGACAGATAGAGGACATTAGATTAAATCCTACCAAAAATGCATCTTTTGCAACATGCCGAGCATTGTTTTAAAATATGCATCTTAACGAAAAATATAAAATTATTTGAGTAAGTCTTCAAGTTTGGCAAACTACTAATAAATTAAAAATATAAAAATATTTGATTAAGTTGTCAAGTTTGGCAAACTACTAATAAATGATAAATTGAGGTATTACGACCAAGATCTGGCGCTGGCGCGCGATTTAGAGGATCGCGTCAGTATGGGACGTGCATATTGCAATCTTGGGCTCGCGCACCTTGCAATCGGGAACTTGGAAAACGCGCTGGAGTGTCAGAAATATTTTCTAGGTAAGATTATAAATGTACAGTAGGAACCATAAAACTGTGGAAAAGAAAGACTAAAATTTTGATTGAACATGAAACACAGGGATCGTGCAATGTAATCAGATTTATTTCACTAAATAAGATGAATCCAAGGAACTGATAATTTCATTTGATTTATGATAATATCAAATACACATAAGATTGATTAAATGCCGTCTATATCGAAAAAAAATATTTAAAATTTGAAATTTATTCATTCTAAAATCAATGAATGAAGTCAGTAGTTCTGCAGAAGTACTTGAACAACAGATACATTTAATTTCAAAGTATTGATATCTGAGGGTTTGATGTCTGTTTGATAGCATACCACACAGAATACATGTATATCAAATATCATAATACCCCCCCTCCCTTGCATCTAAGCAGCGTATATTGGGTTATCTATCTATCTGTTTAACAAGTATTGGATCATTATATATGCAATACATCCCAGCGGTTTACCCCGATACACCGGCAGGAATTGGGAAAATTTGGCTGTGTATAGTTTAATATTGTTATATAGACACCTCATCTAATCGGAAATTGGAAAATTGGATACACAGGACACTATCTTTACTTTCACCCCCCCCCCCTATCCTATATCCTCCATACCCTTTACTAATTCTGGACATTTATTCAACAATGAATGTATAGAGAATTCAAGTGCTAACTTTAGACTTTAATGGAGCATAAAGCGGTAGCGTTATATAAAAACACTAAATTGGCATTATACAAAATAAGATCGGTTTTAAGTTTTAAAACTAATTTATTTATTGACTAGGTTTGATTAAAATTTGAGGTAAAATTAACACATATTAAAGATATCTAGGTTAGATGGAATTGATAATGCATTTATTTTCGAATAAAAATATAAAATCTGCGAACTAAAGAAGATGGATTTAAAAGCTCTGAACGTGAGTTGTCCAAGGTCTTGAGATTATAAGGATCAGAGTCTCAATGTATCGTCGTAAACCATTCATCATTATCAGGAGTAAGGAAGGATTCAGACAGGGGGATTCAGAATTCTTAAATGGACTGTAAGTGTAATTTCAAGTGACCCTCCAATCTCCATGCAAAGATGGCAGTGCCGGATTTACAACGGTACCCTTGAAACCTTAATCTGATCCAAAAGTATTTACTTGTGTTAATTTCGCCTTGTTTTTTAAATGGAAGAAATGCGCAATTAACTTTTGCAGATAACCTTCATATGCAAATAAACAGTTTAAATAAACAAAAACATGCAAATCTGATTTGTACCCTTTCTAGACAAACCTTTCAAGGGAACTGTTGTAAATCAGGCATTGTCATCTTTGCATTGAGGGACGCTTAACATTACTCATACAGTCTCTTTAAACTTCAAAATATTTCACTAAATAGTTTGGAAGAAATAATTGAAAAAAGAGAAAAATTTGATAAGATTGCAAGTCATGGTGTTTTTACATACCCTTTAACATTAAAATAGCAAGAAAAGAATACGGTGGACTAGGATCAATTTGAATTTGAACCGAACCGACTCCTTGTACCGGCCTGAGTGACACGCAGCAAGTACTGCCAGTCCTATCCTATGTCGGCCCAGTTTTAACTTTGATGGCGCGGCCAAACTTTTTACAGTACCCGGCCTATGATAGGCCTATTTTATCTACCTACCCACTACCTAAGTTTACTGTGAGAAGAATTAAATCCACCATAGAGTTTCAGAAAACTTAAAACCAAATGAAAATAGCATTAAGAAATTAACTGTCCAGTAATTTTTGTGCAACAGAAGACCACCAAGTACCGAGGCAGTAAAAAGCCTGTAAACAGAGTGTTTCTTGCTGCATGTAGCTACTACAAATATATGTAAGCAGATTCCTGCTGTATATTCCTTTATCCTGCTCTTGATATTCATTTGTTTGTTGCAATATTGTTTCACTATTGATATTCCATTGAAAAACTGTAAAATAAAAAAAATTAAATTTTGTTCAGCAATCGCCCAGGTCTCCAAGCACAACCAGGCCAAGTTCCGAGCACTCACTAATATGGGAGATGTTTTAGTTAAGATGAACAATATTGAGGAAGCAATTAAGGTCATAGAATTACTATTATTATTATTATTATTATTATTATTATTATTATTATTATTATTATTATTATTATTATTATTATTATTATTATTATTATTATTATTATTATTATTATTATTATTATTATTATTATTATTATTATTATTATTATTATTATTATTATTATTATTATTATTATAATTATTATCAGTATTATCATCATCATTATCATTATTATTATTAACAGCATTATAATTATTTTTTAATAATATAAGTTGGAATAACATTTTATTTGTTCAGGTATATCAGAAACAGCTTGCACTTTCTAAACAAATAAATGATAAGGTGAATATAAATTATCTTTATAAATTTTTTGAATTTTATAATTTTATAATTTACATTTATTGCAACGTATATATTACAAAAATGGTATATATTAAATATTAAGAATTATTTCTACCAGGGATTTGAATCAAGTGCTTCAATTAATAATTAAAAATAAATTTTTCAAATTTTACTAAGAAAATAAAATTTTTGTGTCTATTAAATTAACCGTAAGGCTAAAATTAATTGAAGTATTTTATCAGGGATTTGAAGCAACTGCTTACAGTTCTCTGGGAGTTTGTCACAGAATTAACAAGAAATTCGATAAATCTTTGGGATTTCATACACAGGTATATTTTTTTATAAATTCGACGCGTTTTAATTCAAAGACTATTAATTAATATGTACTATATATATATGTTATATATCTATTTATGCCACTATCTTGTGGTATCATGCGGAACAATTTGCTTTTGCCAAAGCATATTTCCCAAATGGAGATACAAATTTCTCTAATTCAAGATTCATAAAATTGTGCAATTTTGCTCGGAACAGATAATTAACTTTTTATACTCAAGATTATAAAATTGTGAGTAAAAATGCGGGATAAAAATTTTCTCAAAATTGAATAAAAAGTTGAATCTTGCATAGTTATTTATAAGTTATTCTCTTGTGCCTTTTAGATTTTTTTGTTAAACCTATCTGCAGTATCTAAACTCCCAGTCCCAAGCATATTAAGAATTTAAATACCCTTCTGGTATTTAGACCAATTTGCAGTGGGAAAGGCACAGAGAATGTAAAATTACAGAGTTCGCACATCTTATTTTTTTCCGGGATTTTATGACATGAACTTGACAAAGCAAAATTTGGTCGGTTTTTCAAAATGTCGACATTTTTGAACAATTTTCATTTTGCAAAGGTTGATGCAGATTTTGATATTTGTGTAGAAATGTAAAAACTATGATTGAACGTTTAACTGTTGTAACTTAAAGTGACATTGGTGCTTTTTAACCTTATCTCTGCTGGGGTACTTTCAGTCATTCAGGCAGTGTGCCTGAGGACTCAGGCAGTTAGTATTAAAGCCCGGTTTAGGCCTAAAGGGAGGGCTATGGGTATGTTAGAAAAGTCAGAAAATTTCAACAGCCTTAGACCAATACATTTTTGAGTTATGTAAAAAAAACTACAGGGGGAGGGTGTCATATTGACCCCCCCCCCCAGCAGGAATAGGGTTAACCGTTTATCAGATCAATTATAAGGGAAGATTTTTCTATCTTAAAAAGTCTTTTATTTTAATAATTCTGGTTCAAGACACTTTTGTAAAGAGAAACATCATAATAAATATTCAGGTTTTTAAAAACAAAAATGAGGATATATAATTCCTTCTGGATCAGACAAAGGTACCGTTGTGAATCGGCAATGCCATCTCTATCAATGGAGGGTCACTTGACATTACGTTTACAGTCCCTTTAAACAATGTAGAATGCATAACACGAATCACATGATTTATTTATTAATATTTAATACTGCCAAATCTGTGATCATGTATCCTCTGAGAGAAATACTATTTGCATGTTGAAATTTGGTCGAGTTTATAATTGTAACTGAAACACGTTCGTCATAAAAATTCAGTCCCGAAGCATGAGCAAGGAGCAGGATATTGGAGAAATTTAATCATTCTCCACTTTAAGTCAATTTTCTTTTATAGGCTTTAAACAAATACTGCATCATTCGGCGAAAAGAAGTAGTTCTTTCACAAACTTTCTATTTTGAACATCAGGATGTGCATAGTTTTTCAACGGCTTTCCCTTACATGCAATTCTAATAAACGAGTTTTAAGATCACTTCTCTTTCTCATTGTGATTTAAAGGTCTGACGCTCTCAAGCAAAAATTGATGAGTGCTTTACTGTGCTAAAATGTACACGTAAAGGGATACAGAAAAACATAAGTGAGTTAGAGTGGTAAAAGCTTAGCCCAAGGCGTTGCGACACTTCAAATCCGACCCTGTCTAAATAATTGACTTTTTATTAGCAGGCTGAATTTGTGTGATATTTAATTCTCAGTCTTTAAACCACCTCCCCCCCTTATGATTTTGCTGACATCCCACCCCACTTGTAAGCCAACCTTGACCCCCTCCCCCCTCTTCTAAATCAACCCATAAATTTACAGACTTTTCTCCCTCCTTTCTTAGTTAACAGTCTCTCTTCCCCGCTCTCTCTCTCTTTTATTACATTCATTATTTAAGCATGAAATTGAAGCGGAAAATTACTTTTAGCTAGAAGATGGGTGGGAAAGTCAAAATTGGGAGAAGGTTAAGGGTTAAAAAATGGAAAACAATTATTTAAAAATAGAAACTGCACAACATATCGAAATAGCAATTTAAAACCTCGTTCATCGTTTGACAAGAATATAATAATTTGAAGGTTCAATAATAATTATTAGAAAGTGGAAAACCTGGCAAATGATACATGCCTTTATATTTATGACCAATTGACTTTTGACATGAGCGACTTTTTTGGTCAGGGTTAGAACCAATTTTCAGTGTCTATACTCCAGACGTTAGACGGGAAGGGGGGAGAGGTGTCGTCTGTTTTGATGGGAAATAATAGAGTATATGTTAATATACAGGGAATGCAGTAAATATTTTTAAATATTTAAATTTCTCCTTGAGTTTAACTTTACAACCCTGTAGGCCCATCAACACACCAATAAAAGAAAGGTTCCAAAATTCAGCCCCCCATTCCACCGAATTCTTACGTTCTCAGCCGAAAAAAAGATGTTTTAATGGAAACATCTCTGGATTTTACATAAAACAAGATTGTGTTAGATATATTGTATTGTGTAGTGGTGGTGCCCCTAGTTCTCGCATGTTATCCAGCAATTAAAGGAGAACTGGGACGTTTTTGCCGCAGCCCCAGGTCTCAAAACCAGGGCTAGGCTCTAGGTTTTTAAACAAGGCCCCCAACCAACCAACCATCAACCAGACAACCAACCAGACAGCCAACCAGACAACCAACCAGATAACCAACCAGACAACCAACCTAACAGACAATTAACCAACCAACCAGCCAGAAAACCAACCAGACAATTAACCAACCAACCAGACAACCAACGAACCAATCAGACAACCAACCTAACAGACAATCAACCAACCAGCCAGAAAACCAACCAACCAACCAACCAACCAACCAACCAAACAGACAGACAATCAACCAACCAATCAGAAAAACAACCAACAAAGCAACCAACCAACCAACCAACCAACCAACCAACCAATCAACCAACCAACCAACAACCAACCAACCAACCAACCAGCCAACGAACCAACCAACCAGACAAAAATATCAAAAAAAAAGGTTAAGCGCTAATAGCTGGAGTCACGTCTAACGATCTGGGGTCCAACACATTTTTGATTTTTTCAAAATGTTCACAAAATCTCTAACTCTTTGAAAATTCTATAAAATTTTAGATTTTTAAACCGAAATAAAGCCAGATAAACTTCAAATTGTGGGTTTAGGTGATAATTTCCTCTTTTCAAAGTTTACTTGAATAAAGCTTTAACTAACCCAGGCATGTAATCTAATCCTAGCTTTGATCTTATACTAAAACATTACCCTTAATTATGAAACAGCATTCCTTCCCGTACAGTTTACACCATAGTTTCTAATTACATCCCCCCTTGCCCTCTTTCCCCCCCCTTCCCCCCCCCCATCTTCATATCCATTTTATCAAGGCATTTATTTCATGCATCGGACCTTTATTTAGCTTTCAGCCATTTTCTGTCTTTTCTTACAATCATTCACTTTATCTTTCAATTAATCAATTGTTTTCTCTTCTCATCCAAATGTGTTTACTTTTCATTGTCTTTCTTAACTAAAATGCTTTACAAAAATTAAAATGATTTCAAAATGGCTTGAATTAATATGTTCTGAAGTTTGCATCAATATGTTCTCAAGTTTGCATCGCAATATGTTCTGAAGTCTGCATCAATATGTTCTGAAGTCTGTATCAATATGTTCTGAAGTCTGCATCAATATGTCCTGAAGTCTGCATCAATATGTTTTGAAGTCTGCATCATATGATACAGTCCTGACCATAAAGACCGGGAATTGATTTAAAGTAAATAAGACAACGTTACATTTAAATTTTACAAATATGATTAATAAAACGATAATAACAAAATATCCCTAGTCCTGCCAATTCCAAAATGTGGTCTACCTTTAAATTGTGCGTTTATAATTACAACAGATATATATATGTAAAGTCGTCTGATTAACTGTCAATTAATTCAGGGTCTTTCTGGTTTTGACTGTATGATGTTTGCATCAATATGTTTCAATATCTGCATCAATTTGCTTCAATATCTGCATCAATATTTTCTTCAGTTTGCATCAATAAGTCCTGGTGTTTGCACCAATATGTCCTTCTTCTGATTTACGGTACTTACTTATGGCGCGTTGAGCTCTCTTCCTGAATTGTTGCATTGTTTACACGTTTAATGGTTGGAAACCAACTATTTAGAAATATGAGAACAACATTATCAGAGCTAACGACAATATAATGGTGATGGTGTAAGAGGGATCTCTGGGTCTGTATTGGGAACATATTTAGAGGTTAATGGCAGGGAGGGGGGGGGGGGCGATTAGATAATGACTGGTTGGGAGCATATTTTCCATGAATTTTGTGTAGCTGATTGCATGTATAGGGTTTTCTGTATTACGACAAATTTGTATGAATATCTTATTTTATTTGATTATTAAACCTTATTATTAAGATATGGAGAGCACAGTCAGTGCAAAATAGATAAATATTTGTTTTAAAGAAAGATTTTAAGAATGCTGTAAATTCTCTTAAAAGAAATGGAGCCTTTGCCACAAACTCAAATTTTCTTATTATAATATCTTGCGAATGGATAATGTAAACTTTTGATATTTCAAACATAGATTACATAGACATAGATACTGGGTTTCAAAGATATAAGGATTATACTATAAGAGTTTGTGGCAAAGATTCAATTTCATGAGAAAAGGTTTGAAAATTATATTTTATGCATGCACTGAGCTTACACTCCATTTTAAACTGCATTGGTTTAGTGAATATCCATCCCTTCTCTTTCCCCCCTTATATACTGCATTCCTTCATTACCCCTGTACACTGCATTAATGCATACTAACCTTCCCCCCCACAACCCTTCACACTACACGGCCACGACTTGGATTTTTTTTCTTGGTAAAAATGTTTAATTGAAAACCATAAACCGGTATATTTAGCAAACGATGTATAAGTAGTTTAAATATTCATATTAATAAACCTAAAGGGGCTGTTCACGTAAATGATGTATTAGTAGTTTAAATATTCATATTAATAAACCTAAAGGAACTGTTTACGTAAATGATGTATTAGTAGTTTAAATACTTATATTAATAAACCTAAAGGAACTGTTTACGTAAATGATGTATTAGTAGTTTAAATATTCATATTAATAAACCTGAAGGGACTGTTCACGAAAATTCATTTTAAAGACTACGGCACACTTTAATCCTATGTCTCAGCATAAAAGATTGAGATATCCTTGTTTTCTGTTTGAAAATTGATACTTATATTGCTTCTCCGACTAAACGCGTCGTTTTTTTTGGCTAATGCATATTTACTGTCAACTTACCTGTCCTATACAAGCTACAATTTTTTTTATAAAATTAAAAATTTTCAAACATGCAATATCAAATATTCTTTGCACTTTTTTGCGCAAGTTTGTACTACTAAAAATGTAAAAATACCAGTTACTATTAGAAGTTAAAAATATTAGATATCTTGATATATAATCTGTATTTCTAGGAGCTGTCTATCCTGCAAGATATTGGAGATTTGAACGGTGAGTGTCGAGCTCATGGTAATCTAGGCGCTGTACATATGTCCCTCGGGAACAATACTCTAGCTCTCAGATGCTTTCAAGAACAACTAGATAGAGCTAAGGTAAGAGAAATATTAGATTTTGTGACAAGAAAATATAAACTTAATACAAATTCAGAATTTCGGTGGTGTGCTTAAATTTTGTTGTGTAGTGTAATAATTTACAGGATCTACACACTTACCCCCCAACTGTAATTGTACAAATATTAAATTTTTGCAACCTGATGTTGTAGACCTTTGTTTCTTTCAAACAATTAATTCTGCTAGATTAAATTAAAGTTTAAAATAATAAGGGGTTGAGCCATCAGGTTGTAAAGTTAAATAAATTAGAAAATTAGAGTTTGAGGCGAGTAATCCATCCTGAGAAGTTGTAAGACCTCATTATACTTCCTTATTTCACAAGGTTTTCATCATTCCCAGAAAGCCAAGTTTAGAATATATAATGGGTTCATTTTTTGGATTTAGAATATTTGATTGATTTATCGGTTTCCATAGAATAATCTGTATATTTAGAGGATGTCTAACAAATATAAGTTTTAAAGACTAAATTATTTTAACAATAATCGTTTCAATTCTATATTGCTTTGTCTATGGTGTAAAGCGATGTTATGATTCAAACATTTTTTTGCCTTGAATATTTTTTAGCACCCTGTATGAATATTATTTTGATAAATGATGCTGATTTTCGAACTATATCACACAGACACACATGCATATATTTTATATATATATATATACATATATGATATAAATATGAAATATATGTATTCAGAATACGTTTCAAGGATACTCTTGGGGGTGTTTTTAAACAAGATTTATGGGGGCGGATTACTGGTATTTTTGGAGAATGAGTTTGCGAATTTGAACGAAATATAATATTCACAATTATTTTAATAATATGATAATCATCAAAATAACAACAATAATAACAATAACATTATTAGCAACTTTTTAGCAAATTTTAAGATATATAAAAACTTGTTATTTTTTTAGCTGCACTTTTTCAATTAAAGCAAAAGTAAGAATTTTAATTGTGTGGGGGTGGGGTAGGAGAAGCGCATAGCGATATCCTCCAGAATGATGGGGCAAATTTAGCTATTTGTCGCCCTCCCCCCCCTTGCAGTGCAATTTAAGGAAATATGGTCAAATATGCAAAAAATATGCATTGTTCATATATTATACAGGGTGTCCAACGAAACATGACAGTAGCAAGACAACTTAAAAGTAGTCTTTCAACTTTCAATTTATTTGTGACATTCAGTCATCAACCTACTTTCACATTTAAGATTCGTGAAACAATGACCAAAAAATTCTGCTAGTCCTGCCATTTCCAAAAAGTGGTCTGCTTTTTTTGAGCTTTAAATATTACCGGAGATATTAAGAATTTTATTTAGATTTCAATCACATTAAATTAAACCAAAATTATCTAAATCTGAACGAATTTCATCATATCTCTATTGATATTGAAGGCACAAAAAATGCAGACCACATTTTGGAATTGCCAAGACTAGAGGCATGTTATGAGTATTAACTCTAGAATTTTAATTCTAAAAAATGTTTACGAACAAATACCGCCAATTATTTTAAAAAATCAAAGCCGACCTTCAATTCGTCTTGCTACTGTCATGTTTCGTGGGACACCCTGTATATTAAAGCAATGATTAGTAACGAGTTTCTGCATACTTTAAATATATGTATATTATGACCTGCTCATGCAATGTTCAGTCGGCCTTTTTATATTCATCATATAATAATATAATATAATAAATACTAGTTGAAGTGGATGGGGGGGGGTATTAACCCCATCATCGGCTGAGCTTTCAACGAAAATATTTTTCGAAAAAAACTTTTTCCCCATCACATCGTTATGATAAAACTCAATGATGCATTTCTGTGGTTAATCCTAAAAAAACAAGTTCTTAAATATTTATTAATTTCAGGAATTAAGTGATATTACAGCTGAGGCCAAGGCTTATGGAAATATGGGAATCACAAGGTAAAAATATTATAAAAAAATATCAAATGAAAATTTAGAAAATAAGTAATGATCAAAAAAAATCTAAGAAATCTAAATCTTAATTTAAAAATCAACCAATCAAAAATTTAATTTAAAAATTTCAGAATGAACCTGAATCTGTTAGAAGAAGCTATCTCGAATTTCGACAGTGAGCTCGAGTGTTTGCAGAACAAGAACTCGGAGGACTCGACTCGAGAACGCGCACGCGCGCTTGGGAATTTGGGAGACTGCTACGACTCTCTGGGGGACTATTGTGAGAGCGTAAAGTTTCATGAACAGTTTCTATCTCTCTCCCTGCGTACAGGGGTTACTAAGGATCAGAATAAAGCGTACAAAGGTCTGGGATTAGCATATAAGAATCTTGGGAATCTACAAGAAGCGCTGGTAATTTTTATATTAATTGTATTTTTTGTAAATTGTACAGACCGTACAGAGTACTCTGTACAAACCGTACAGTGCATGTTTTTACTGCTTTTTTCACGAACTCTGTCTTTGGTATTGTGTGACCCCGTGTAAGTGGATCGTATATTGAACAGTGTGTCCAAAATTAATAAAGTCCTGCAGAAGATCTTTTTTCATCTAAATATTTTGTCAATATGGGTTTAAAATCTTTCCTTCATAGGACTGAACTGTTTCACAAGAATCCGATATAAACCGTTTCCTAATCATGAGGGAATGAGATATCATTGGTTTTATTTGCGGTTTTTCTGTTAAAGTGACTTACGCATTTATGCGGCAGAAACTTTGAACGAAAAATGTCAGCTTCAACAAATTCAAGATAGAAAAACAACGATATCTTTCTCACTGTTTTAAAGGGTACTTTGGCTGGATGACGTACGCTGTCTATATTATCTTTGGCTGGATGTACGCTGTCTATATTATCTTTGGCTGGATGTACGCTGTCTATATTATCTTTGGCTGGATGTACGCTGTCTGTATTATCTTTGGCTGGATGTACGCTGTCTATATTATCTTTGGTTGGGTGTACGCTGTCTATATTATCTTTGGCTGGGTGTACGCTGTCTATATTATCTTTGTTTCAGTGTAAAGCATACTTGGTTTAATCTCAGCACTTCTTCATGCAACGCCCTCGGCTAAATATCATATATGTTCGGTGTCAATTTTTTGCAAGAACTCCATTTTTCATCTGTCTTTTTTACAATGAAGCTAGGAAAGACTTTGAGGTTTAAAGGGACTGTAAAGTGTAAACGTAATTTCCAGTGACTCTGGAGATAATTTTAATTGTCCCTCCAGTCATGTCCGATTCACAACGAAAACTTTTTCCAATCAAAAAGAATGAGATATCCTTAATTTTAATTATTTTTTCTGGCTGAAAATTATTACCTATCGTGGTTCCTCAATTAAGTAAAATTGCGGATTTATGTTGGACCGCGAATAAAGGAGATGGTCTTGAGTTCATAGGTTATAGTTAATCAATTTAAAGGGTGACGTACGTTGTGAATCGGACACGGTACTTTCTGAATGGAGGGTCGCTTGGAATTACGTTTACAGTCCCTTTAATACATGGCAAGTTAATGGCGGCGAGTAGTTAACGTTAAGTACCTATATACATGATAATTATAATACCATCATAAAGAAGGTTATTTTGGTTTCCCTCCTATATATTTAGGGTTAAATGCAGAACATGATTTGCATAAAACATACTTCTTTTTTATAATACTGGAGCTCCACCAATCTTGAATATTGGAGTCATTTTATGTGTTAACAACATACATTTATACATGCAGTATTCACAGTGCACACGGCATCATTTAGTATGCAATGCAGTATGCTGGGATAAACCTAGTCTCGGATTAAAAGGGTCAGAGGTTGAAACTGAAAAATAAAATAGACTAAACTGTGTTTTATTTTATTAGAATTCATTTTCAGGAGTTTCAAATTTGGTGTAGTCATGTACTTTGGTGGAGATGTATTTTGTCTTATAGTTGTGGTTTTTCTAATAAAGTGGCTCACGTGTAAACGTCCAATCATTTACCTATTCTCAATCACAATAGGGTACCGTTGTCAATCGATCACTTGAAAATACATGTTCCCTGATTCTAAATTTTCTATAGTTAATTATCAAATTTGCTCCATTTTCTTTATTTTTAAACGTGTTTGTTTTAGGTTTGTTTTGAGAAGAGACTTGTCCTGCTGCATGAGGTTGGAGAAGGTGGAGCAGGATATGGTGAACTAGGAGATATTCATCGTCTACTTGGAAACTATGATCAAGCAGTCAACTGTATTCAGCACAGGCTTAATATTGCAAGGTAAACAGCAAGGAACTAATTACTCGCCTCAAATACTATTTTTCTTTTCCTTAAATCTTTGCAACGTGATGTCGTGGACCTTGGATATTTCAAGCTATTATTATCTTTGAAGCCAAAATTTAAAATCTAAGGTTTACACCAGGTTGCAAAGACATAGAAATTGGAAGACCAGAAAAAAGATCTTTGTAAGAAAATACTCAAAATTAATAATTAGAACTGAAAAACAGAAACCAATCCCTTAAAATCTGCCAAAAAACTGCGACTGTTTAAACAGGCCATAAAACAAAGTTGATGAAACATGCAACCCTAAGGATTTGCATACCAGCAAACCCTTTATTATTCTTATTATTGCTGGAACTTTTTATTACTGTGTTTGGAAACAAATAACAAACCTTAGCAATTTTGTATTATAAATTACATGCGAGCTGAAATAGTCTATTCGTTATTTTGTTCAAATTCACTTTTAAGTTAAAGAGTGTTAACATAAAGATATCTCAATTATCATTACACATATTTTTTTAATTAAAATTAAATTACTTTTCTTAAGAAAGAAAATTTTTAAGGATTATTTTTATGTTACTGTTGAGGTGTTTAATTTTTCTTCCTTTGCACTAAAGAAAAATTATTTAAAAAATGAAAATATCTAAAATTTTCTTTGTTTCTAAAATATTTTTGTTTAATTCAGGAAAACTGGAGATAAAGGTGGGGAAGCTGAAGCACTGAGTGGGTTAGGAGAAGTATATAATAGTAAAGGGGAGTACACAACCTCTCTTACATACCACCAGGAGCACCTCGTCATAGCACAGAACCTAGGGGACAGGGGGGCTCAGATCAAGGCGTGTCTCAATATCGGAGGAACCTATGAATCTATTAAGAGTTTTGACCATGCTAAGTCCTATTACGAGCAGTGTCTGAGCGCCGCTACCCTGGTTAATGACAGGGTGGCGAAGATCAAAGCCTTGGGTAATCTAGGTCAGTGTAATCTTTATATACTTAGCTTTGATCCAGGGTAATTAGTCAAATGTGTAATTAATCAGATTGGGGTTGAATAGAAGGCTTGTTTTTATCCTTCATCCTTGATAGGCAGATTGCCAGAACATCCCACCCAGACGTAGTTTATCAAAACTTTGTCCTCATGTCATTAATTATTTGGATCTAAAGAACAATTTTATTTTTTCTTTACAACTTTCCCCATTCAAATTTGACTTTTCAACAGGGGTTTTAGATACTAACTTTCAATGTTCCTAAAAGAAATAAATGGATTCAAATCCTGTGAAATTTTTCTTCTTTTAGACACTTTCATCTGTTTTCCATCTTAAAGCACAAGTAACAATTATCAAAATAAAATATTGCAAGGTTTAAGATTAATATTTTGAACAAAAATTTCAAACCCTTTTTTTTAAGGTCGGACAGAATATGTGTCGGGAAATATTGGTCAGTCTGTCAACTACCTCCAGCAAGGGTTGGCTATTGCTGAGCAACTTCTACGGAAGGAGGATGAAGCCAGGATCAGGCATAGGCTTGGATTAGCCCTCTGGCAGAACTACGACCTCGAAGGAGCTAGGGAGCAATTGGATATTGCAAGTAGACTCTTTGAAGGGATTCGTAGGGATGCGAAAGGTTCAGCAGAGTTTAAATTATCCCTGTATGATCTACAAACTGCTTGCTATCAATCCTTGCAGCGGATCCTGGTTCTAATGAATCGGGAGAATGAGGCCCTGCTTGTAGCTGAGAAAAGTAGGAACAGAGCTTTCATTGACCTGCTTCATGAGCGACAAAACAAGAAGAACAAAAACACTCCGTCCATCGACATATCTCCTAAATCTGTAGAAGATATTGAGAAATTAGTTAACCGTCAGAAAGCAACTGTTCTGTATTTTAGTTTAGCTGCCGGTTATCTCTACTGTTGGCTGATAATGCCAACTAAAGGAATTGTTAGGTTTCACCAAACCTGCCTGGTTGAGGAAGATGAGGAGGAGTTAGAAAAACCAGAATGTGAACGAAGTGGTTACCTCTTGGAGAACCATATACAGAGTGTTCGGGAATCTCTAGGAATAGATACAGGTTCAGGAGAACTGGGTAAGGAAGATGAAGATAATAGTTCTGGTGTGTGGTCGAACCACCTGGAAGAGTTGGGTGACAAGCTAAATCAGGATAGTGATAGGACTGGCTTCCTTAGAATGGTTAACAGATCTTCACGCATGAATGCTTCGTCCTATTCACTCAGTTCACTCTTCTCAGTAGGCAGTGTGGGAGGAGGAAGCACTCTTAGTGGTTTAACTCCGGGTTCTAGGGCGGGTAGTACCCGTTCCAGGAGGTCAGGGTGGCAGGGGCATTCTTCCCTCCGGAACCTCTATCAATTACTCATCGAACCAATGGAAGATGATTTGCCGGAGGGTTACCCTAGTGAACTTTTACTCGTGCTAGAAGGTGATCTTTATCTGATCCCATTCCCAGTGTTGAAAGGACCTAATTGCACAGACTATTTATGTGAGAGGTTTAGCCTCTTAGTCATTCCAAGCTTGACAAATCTCAAGGCAAAGGTACCCAAACCCCGGCATTCAAGTGAGAATCTGAAACGTCTTGTTGTAGGAAATCCTAAAATTCCAAGTTCTGTCACAGATCATTGGGGCTGGAATGACATCCCTCATGCTGAGCAAGAAGCAAACATTGTTTCTGAGATTCTACAAACTAAGCCAATGCTTGGGAACCAGGCCACCAAAGATAACCTTTTAACTGAATTAGGCGAAGCTGAATCAATTCATTTAGCTTGTCATGTTTCCTGGAAACTCTCTGCAATAATAGTATCTCCTGGAGAATTTATGGAGTCCAGATCTCCCACCACTGGCTCCTGTAATAATCCAAGGAGCTATTCTATTCACAATGATACTATTCATGAAGAGGAAGATGTGAAGTCTGAAGCTACTACAATAGAGCTCCCAGCTCTATCTGAGTTTCTACTCACTGCCGCTGACATTCTTAAACTAAAGTTGACTGCCAAGCTGGTGGTTATCTCTAGCTGTTATACCCGGGATAAACATGGCTGCGCTAGTTCAGATGGAGTTATTGGTCTAACTCGAGCTCTTCTAGCTGCTGGAGCGCAATGTGTTCTTGTGTCTCTATGGCCTGTCCCAGACACTGCTGTTAAATTAATCATGAAAGCATTCTATTCCTCTCTCCTCCAGGGTTCAAGGGTGAGCCGGGCCCTGGCTGAAGCAATGACAGCTGTACAAACAACTAAATATTTCCAGCATCCCGCCAACTGGGCAGGTTTCCTTCTTATTGGGCAGGATGTCAAGTTGTCTAATAAAGTGGCTCTAATGGGACAGGCCCTGAGAGAGATGATATCTACTCCTGACAAATGTAGGGACGCACTCAGAGTAACTTTACACTTGGTAAGCATTTAAAATAGTAAGGGGTATCCTGTACTAGGTAGAGTACATTTCTTTTCTTAAGCAATAACAATGATTTTTACAGGAGGTTCAAGAGTGTCAGAAGTTTCCAATTGCATATTTTAAATAAGGGAATGCAATCTGATTATAAAGATAAAAAATGTATTTTTTGAGACACTCTGTAGACGGACTTTATAGATCCCAGGGAAATTGATGTTTAAAACAGAGGTTTTCATGATTAAATATGTAAATTTTGCCTTCTATGGAATTGTTTCATGTTAACTTAGCGCCCGCAATGTGTCTCTGGTATTTTCATAAAATTATTTATGTATTTAGGTTGAGAAGTCCCTACAGCGGATAAACCGTGGTTACAAGAACGCTATGTACACCTCTCAGAAGAGTATTGAGAATAAGGTTGGGAGTGTGGAGGGCTGGATGGATCTACTCATGTCCGTAGGGTTTAGGTTTGAACCTGCCGCTAACGGAATCCCCTCTGCCGTATTCTTTCCACAGAGTGATCCTGGGGAAAGATTAGCACAGTGCAGTGCAAGCCTGCAGGCAATCCTTGCCTTGTCTCAAACATCTTGGGCGGCACTTTCTAATTTACTTGTGAGCCCTGACTCAGCAGATGAAATCATGGCTCTATTCCGGCAAGTCATCGGTGAATTTGGACCGCGGGATCTGGAAGCTGAAAGTGTTCAGATACCTGTCAACGTTAAGCTCTGGAGAATACCCGGCTGTCATGAATTACTGGCAAGTTTAGGTTTTGATTTGATGGAGGTGGGAAGGGATGAGATAACCCTAAGAACATGTAGGAATGCAAACAAGCGTCAGATACAGTTTGCCTTGCAGACACTGGTTGCATTGTTTGATACAGATGAGGCGCCCAGATCAGTTAATGTGGACTCCAATGATTCTATGGATGATTGCAATGATGATGAGGACACTTCTAGAGCTTCTGATTCTCCTGTTCCACCTCCTGTTCCACCATTCCCTCTACCCAGAAAGAGTGATCTTGTTCTGGACGGTACTGGCGGAGCTTTCTCCAGCTATGCCAGGAATAGAGGAGAACCTGATGGAAGACAAGCTCAGGGAGATTCTCCCACAGGAAGCACTAGTTCAGGGTACCAAGGAATATCCAACCCTGTCCTTCCATCTATTCTGCATAGCAATATTTACCACCAAAAAGGGAGAGAAAGTGATTGCAATTTTACTCCAAGTCCTGTGGAAAATCTGCGAGGAATTTCAAGGTATCCTGGGAACTATTCCCTGAATTCAAGCCATGAAAACTCCTCTCATCTTTCCTCCACCTACTCCCCTAGTAAACTATCCCTGCAAGGATCCAAGTTCAAGCATGGTCCATCTCCTCTGAGTAGACCTGAGAGCTGCAGTAGTACAAGTTCTATTAATGACTGGGAAGCTATTCACTCAACTGTGCTCAGACGACAATCTAATTTATCCAAGCTTAGTCCTGGAGTCACGGATTCAGCTAATATGGCTGGAATAGGGCTTGTATCCAGGAAATATCTAATCTCTAATCAAGCAGGTGCATATGAGAACTTTGAACAAGCCAAGCTTGAGAAGAATGTTGCTCCTGTAAGAAGTGTATTTACGGAATCTGGATACAACATGTTGGGTAAGGCTAAGCTCATTGAAACTTCCAATGTGAATGATAAATTGAGTATTAGAGCTGAGATTAACCGGGTTCATCCATCATTGAGAAAGGACACTGCAAGATTGGAACCAGGTGTAACAACGCGAGTACCACCTACTGGAGAATCAAACAGTCCTCAGGGAAGTATTAACAAGAAATCTTCTACTGGAGAAATATCCCAGTTCCAATCCAACTCCACCCCTGCAGAGGGTGTCATGGTTAGGAAAGAAACATTGGGAGAGCCAGGGATCAAGGAACAGATAATGTCAACCCAGATGAGGCGGATAAACCGCGAGCTGCCAATCTCTGAGGTGTACCATGAGCGAAATATAGGGTTAGGATTGGCTCCACCCCTCTCTAAACTGATCATGTCCAACAATATCGCTGTGGCCCAGATTGATCACCATCCTGAGCCAGAACTATGCACCACCAAAAACCCTTCTGACAACATTAATAGTTTTGACAATCTGTCCGTAATTGAAGAAGCCCACCCGCTGCGAAAAGCTCGGCCTAGTGTGCCCCCAAAACCCGACCACTGGAACCAGACAGGATATATCAAACCCGACCCAACAATTATGTCAATTCCTCCAACCCGTGTACGTGATGAGGGGGATGGGCGATCAATGACAGACTCCCAGTACTCTGGGTACTCACCTAACTCTACCACAGCTAGCAAGGATCTTACTTCCAAGTTTAATTATCTCAGGGTGCGGGATCCAGTAGGAGGATTTCGTCAGATACCTGGGAGCCAGGTCACCACTGTTATTAATCCAAATATCCGTCCTAGTGATGTAGCTCAGTATATCAACAGTGAGTTCCACTCCAACAAGGAGGAGAAGATGAGAGAGAGTGCTAGTAAGCATCCACATCTATGGAGTAAGGATAAGAACGGCAGGTTTACATATACTGGAAACTTGTCCTCTGATTGTTGAACAACCTCTTCATGCTATATTTAGGGCTCGCTTGAACTCTGACAGTTCTTGTTTAAAACTGGTAAAAAACATAAATGTGATATTATGACTTTCAGTACCTAACTAATAAATATATATGGATATTATGTATGTGTACCTTTAAGCTGGAGGTTAAAAAGTTTACAAGTGCATTTTATGATGCAAACTTTAAATTAAACAGAACATCTTTTGGATTACTCGAGCTGACAGCTTATAATCTTTCCAAGAAATTAAAATTGGGGATTTGAAGCAAAGTCAAGCTGCAGGGTATGATCTGCATAGTGCATAAGCTGTGGATCAATGCTTGATCCCGAGATTCACAGCATAACATCTCTGACTTTGAAGCATTTGCAAAAGTAAAAAATAAACTCTGCTATCCTTTGAAGTCTTTTTTGAAATATAAAATGAAAGTCTGTACTCCTTGGCTACCTGAGCTACGTAAAAAAATGATAATGTACGCAAGTTTGATTGCATTATACAAGGGGTAATATCAATACAATGAAGACGACTTTCGATTTCATTTTTTATATCAAACTCTTAAAAAGCATGGATACACAAAAACATAGGATCCAAGAGAAGCTGTCATTTAAAAAAGCTTCTCTTTGATTACTTATTAACTTTGTTATTTTGACTAAAAATGTCGTTCCTCAATGCTTATGTTTATGGAAACGCCCTGTCAGGTTCAAGCCAGGTGCCTAATAAGGTTGATGTTGATGTTAAAAGAAGTAAATTACAGGTTAAACCCAAGGTCATTGAAATATACAGGGGGGCAATTATATCATTTAACTCACTAAGAGTACAACGCAGAGACAGAAGTATGTTTTCCCATTTTCTAATAAACATGATAATTATTCCAGTTTTAAAACCTTCCTTAAACCTTTAACGGATAAGAAGAATAACACAACAAATGTTTTGCATAACATTTTACATTTAATGATTTCAAATTTGAAACTGGTTTACTCAAGGACAAGTTGTATAATGTATGCAAACATTACACCACAGGCTTTTTATACGTACAAATAGGCTGTTCAAAAAAAAATAAACCAAAAACATTTTTATTCTTTGAACTTTTTATAGAGTAATAGATATTCAATTTTTATTTAAAATCGGTATTTAATAATTCACAATGGTTCCCTTCAAAGCTATACCTGTATATTTGAACCTTTGTACCTAAAACTACCTAAACCTTTTACATAAACTTGGACATATAAACCTTCTTTACCCTACTTCTATTTCTTAACTAACTTAAACCTTTAAACCTAAACATTTTAATTTTTTAACCTCAAAAGGAATTGAGTCTTTGCTATAAACTCTGATGGTCTAGTCATCACTTTAACCCAGTTTGAAATATAAAAGGTTTACACCATAAGGTTGCAAAGATTTAGGGATAAGAAAATTTGAGATTTTGATAAAGCCTAAATTCCTTCACACGCAAAATAACCTCTGCTACTAAAATCCATGTCCAATCCATCACTTGCGTATAAGTGCAAGTTGTAGAACACCTTGAAATCTAATTTTCATTTTGAAATTTTGGAACACAGTATTTGCAAGTTAAATGTAACTAGATCACTGCGATTTAGCATTAGCTGAATCACATTCATGACCCTCTGCCTTAAAAGAAGAAATTGTTTAGATCACTGTGAAGTGTTGTTATCTGTTTGTAATGCAGACCATGGGTAACTGACTAAGGAATACATTTGATAAGATAAATTGTTCTCCTTTTTCATTGATCTTCTTTAAAGGTCGTGTTTTAAGATATAAAGTGTTCTTATTTCTAACTTGGCTTTTATCAAGAAACATGAATCACTGAGATATACAGTGATATCCAGAAAACAATGGAATAGGAAGAAGACATTATGGCAATACTTAAAGGTGTTTGATGTTGTTTCAAAGCAAATTATTTTACTCGACACTTATTAAATCACTCATTTAGGGAAATGGGTCTGTTTACACTGCATCATTACTGCCTCCCATGCTGTGACCTTTTAAAAATTTAAACTTGATTCCAAAAGTCGTCTTCCTATTTCAGAGTTTTCTGGTCATCACTGTAGATAACTAAAGCTTGGGCACCGAGTATTTAGACAGCTTTGATTGAATTGTTACAACGCTTTGCCCTTTGCTTTTACCTCTCTTTTACTTGTTTCGCAATTGGCAAAATACTGCTCAATTTGTTTCTGATTTTGTGTTTTAGTTTTTTCTTATATTTTTGTCTTATTAGTTTTTGACATTTACAACTTTGAACTCTGGTTAATCAATCAATCAAAGTTTAGATATTAAAGTTTTAAATTAGGATGAAAAGGTATTGGGTAATAATAGTTTAAGGCATGTTCATGTTCATTTGTCCAAACTACTGTGCTCAAATAATAGTTTAAGGCATGTTCATGTTCATTTGTACAAACTACTGTGTTCAAATTTTTAACATACAAATGTTCTGAAAAATTTCTGCAATTTTCTAGCTCGCCAATTGGGGAAAAATCTATCAGTTTCATCAGAGCTGAAAACTTTTGAATGGTGGATATCGAGATTAATGCTTAATCCACTCTTTTTCTTAATCTCCAGATTAAATATTGCTTGTTTTCCTCATAAATTTAATCTCCAGATTAATTAACAGATCGGAATTAAGGATATCACATTCAAAAGTTTTCAGCTCTGAAAACTTTATCATCGTGGATATTGAAATTAATGCTTGATCTCCTCTTTTTGTTAATCCTCAGATTATTATAATCTTTATTCCACTAAAGTGTCTAGAATTTTACAAACCAGCGTGTACAAAAGCAGAGAATTAAGAAAATCATAAGTTTCCACAATGGATATTCAGATTAAGCGATCCGGATTAAGGGTATCCAATTCTAAAGTTTTCAGCTCAGATCATTTTTGCAGTTGTATTTACTTCTTACTTTCAATATCATCAACAGTTGAAGATTGTAAAAAGGGTAATTTACAAGACACAGTCTGAGAGCTGGGATAAAAATGAAATCTTAAAAAATGTGTCCACAAAATATGAAATACAAAGGGGCAAAAACTGTACATAAGGGACTCGTTATTGTTAACGGAAAGCATTTTTGATACAAATCATCGCGTCGTAAATATGTGATCCTTGTTAAACTAATTCTTTGTTTTGATTGCAATGCACAGAATTGTTATAAACCGCGAACTAATGAAAACAAAACAATGTCGTAAATTCCAATCTTTTTTTTGCATTGATATTTACAATTATTGCTGCTTACTTGAGGGAGGGGGGGCAACACTATAGTAAACATGTTCAACGATAAGAATTTGCATTAAATGGCTTGAATTCTTTTACTGGTGTCTGTTTAGAAATACTGTCCCTTAAAATTGTCAAAATTAGAAAAAAAGAAACATTTATTTATCTGTGAAAATATTTTTTGGTTTTTCAGGAATATATAAAAATGTTTCATATATATTGAACATCAATAGTTTTAAAATAAAAAAAGTGCCATATAGTGTTTCTATTTTAAGAGTTTACAAGTTTAATTATAGCTCCAAATTTGCTCTGAAGAAGCGTAAAATAGATTAAAATGAGTTTAATGGTTGCAATCGAATAGATTCTCGTACAATAGATGGAAATATAGAATTTGTACACTCTCAGTACAGCTGTATTCTGACGTCACAATTGTCAATTCAGTTTTTGTGTCCGACAAAATTAAAAATAATATTGATAGTTTTAGAATAAAGTGCTTATCTTACAGTAAAATATGGGCAATTGAATGTATTCGTTATTTTCTGTTTTTACACTTTCTTGAAAAACATGTCAACTAATGGGAGAAAATTTCGTTTTTCTTGTTATATATGACACTTTTGACGTCGTGTATATTTGGCTGCAATGGTTTCCTTTGATTAAAATGCAACTGTTTCTATAAATGGTCCAATGAAATAGTTTTAAAAAGTTTATGGATAAGTTTTGGATTGTTCCAATTATTTCTTTCAGTGAATAGAGAATGAGTTTAAAGAGTCTCAGTAAATGAGTTTCAATAAAATTCAATGCACTGGTTTTAAATGATTGTTGTGAATGAGGTTTCAATGCTTTTGATGAATTACTTTCAAATAGGTCAAATGAATTATTTTCAATTGGTTCCAATGAGTTAGTTTAAATTGGTTCAAATACGTATGTTTCAAATGGTTCCAATGAATTAGTTTCAAATGGTTCTAATAAATTATTTTCAATTGGTTCCAATGAGTTAGTTTCAATTGGTTCCAACCCATACGTTTCAAATGGTTCTAATTAATTATTTTCAATTGGTTCCAATGCATGAGTTTTAAATGGTTCCAATGAGCTAGTTTCAATTGGTTCCAATACATAAGATTCAAATAGTTCCAATGCATTACTTTCAATTGGTTCCAATGCATGAGTTTCAAATGGTGTCTAATGAATTTGCTTCAAATGATGTTCTGAAAATTCCATATAAAAAAATTATTTGAAAAGGAATTACAGTCTTTGCCACCAACTCTGATTTAGGGATGGGCGAATTTGTAACAGAGACTCAACTCCTTTGTTCCATTGGATCTTTTGTATCCGGAGTTTGTATCCCATTATATGAATTGTGTGTGTGTGTGGGGTAAAGATGACTGGTCTTATAATGATGAATATTATAAAAATGATGATGATGATGTTATATCAATGATCTCTCGATAAATTGCGCCAAATTACAATAGATTGTACAAAAGGGGAGAGCAGGCCCGGGGATTATATGTTTTAGATTATACCAAAGATAAATTTAAGTTCTTGTCTGACATATTTTCAACCATTAGACATGAATATATTGTAACGCTAATCAAAATTAATCAATTAACCTGATTTAACAGTTCGGCCGTTATCCACGCCAGCTGCCACTTTATAATACAATATTTAACAAATTATACATAAATTTTTTTTTTAATGCGTTCAGAATGAAAAAAGTTAAAAAGACAAATCTGATATGTTTAAAGATTGCTAAATTTTAGAAAAAGACACATTATTCCAAACTGGAATGTGATCTTAGCTTATTGCTATTCTTTTTTATCCAAACATATATTTTTAAACAAACATAGATAGTAAAAAAATACAATAATGTCAGCCAGGGTTATGGTTACAATTCTGGATACTATT